CGGTAAAATGCTGTAATGCTGTATTCAAGAGCGACTTAAATGTTGTTTACCTGCAGTCTCCGGCGCACAGATCAGGTTACCACACAATCAAACTCAAACTCAAACTCAAAACTTTCACTGTGCAAGCGCAAATCCAGGCTAAACTGCGCTTTATACTCCGACATCTCCTTAACATCCTGCATTCACATTCACACACACACCACAGCAGCGCGAAAAGCACTTCACTCTGTGTGCTCAATCGAAGCTCATCCTCTTGTGGGAAGAAAAGAGGTGGTGTTTCCCACAAAGCACTGCAGCCGGCCGAAAATGGCACCTAGAGAAGCAGCAGCAGCACGCATCTGGAGGCTTCTCTGCACAACATGGCCTGATGAGCTCCAGATGCCTGCTCTGTGCCATGACCCGACCTTCCCTGAGCACATGAACGCAACATCATGCTACACACATGTCTGACTAATCACCTGCTCGGCACACACTGCATTTACTAATCACTAGACTACACGCTTAAGCTTCCCTGACATGCGACCATGACTGCTCGAACAGTGTTGCTAAGTCTTTTCAGGGGAAAGTTGCAAGAAGGCGCTGCGAGTCGCCAGGTGACGTCATAGATCATTTGCATATTCATTGATTCGTCATGATGAGTTGCATATCAAAACGTCTTAGATGTAGAAGGAAGATTTTCTGAAGATTTTCAGAACAGAATAAGAACAACATAGAGTTTTATCCGAATAAAAACTAAATAAGGAATAACACACAACAGACCGTGCAGCTATATAAATATAATGCACGTCGGGGTGGAGTGATGTGGCACAACGTGCAAGCTGAGTGCCATCGATCACAATGTTTAAATTATTAATGAATGACACAGTGCACGTTTTAAGGGTTTATAGTTAAATTTAATGTTGTGAATGTCCAGTAGGCAAGTTAGTTCCTGTTCTCACATACATTATAGTTTCGATAAACTGTCATCCCCTCACCAGCCTCTCTCTCGCTCTCTCTCTCTCTCTCTCTCTCTCTCTCTCTCTCTCAAAAAACGCAGCCTGTCATTTTAGCAAGAAACCAGAAACTGTAAATTCCTGTCCCGCACACCTTCTGACCAATCAGATTCGAGCATTCATCTGTGCTGTGGTATAAGTAAATAAAACATGACAGGGTGTTCGGTTATAGGAATATAATCCACCATTTTGTTACCAGCATGCAGTTGATTATTTATTCATTTTCAGCAACAGCTCATCCTCTTATACTATGGCAGTTTGCCACCAATTAAAACTGTATACTTATTAATGAGCAATGTTTTAACTGTTTCTAGTTACATTAAATGTTAGAGCATCTGCAAAAGTTAGTCCCTTTTATCACTTACGCTATAGGAGCTATAAACAGACATTCCCACCCCAGTTTCTTTTTTTCGCTCCTGAAGTTATTAAGACAGAAAAAAAAAACACTTGTTAACAAAAAGTGGTAAAGCACAAAACATCTTGGCAAACAGAACAAGGCCCCATCCACATGCATAAAGATATTTTTGAAAACATAGTTTTTACCACCCCATTTTCAAAATATTTCCAACTAAATGAAAACACAAAACCAATTTAAAAACACTCACACAAGCAATAATGGCTCAAGAATAAAGTTGAGTATGTATATTGAGTGATAGAAAAGGTGAAATGCAAGAAAACATGAACATGCCATTTGCAAGGACTAATAAAAAAAAAAGTGGAAGTAAATTGTGGACAATTTTCAGGTAAGAAATTAGAGACTACAGAATAGCCTGCTCAATAGCCATGATAAATGATAGTCCTAGCACATTCAAAACACATGCAAAACTGCTAAGGGGCATGCACAGATTGACACTTGACATTTCAAAAACATGTTTTTCTGAGTTTGGAGGGTGTTTTCGAAAAGTATATCCAAAAATTATCTGTGTGTGAAATTCCCAGGAGATCAGCAGTTTCTGAAACACTCAAACCAGCCCACCTGGTACCAACAACCACGCCACGGTTAAAGTCACAGAGATCACACCTTTCCTTCATTCTGATGTTTGATGTGAACATTAACTTCAGCTCTTGACCTGTATTTGTATGATTTTTTTTTTTTTTGCACAGTCCTGCTGCCACATGTTTGGCAGATTAGATAACTGCAGAACGATGCAGGTGTTCCTAATAAAGTGGATAGTGAGTGTATGTGTGGACATGTTCATTAGAAAAAAGTACAAAAAAAAAAAACTGCAGGTAAATATTGGTCAAACCTTCTGCAGCAGCAAGCGTGACTGGTCAGAATTCCTTTACAAGCAAAAAAAAAAATAAATAAAAATGGTCCTGTGCACTCCTCTAAATTAAACCCATTTCATTTTTGTGGCAAAACATTTAGACAAATAACTTTTACAAATGAAAGAACTGTAACACATTCAGTTGTAGTGCTAGTGATATTGAACAACACAGAGCCAAATGAATATTAATTATTAACTTGTGAACCATGTGGTACAGACACTATTTTGAGAATCCTTGTTTAAGGATTGTCAGGCCATGAGATAAGCTTTGTAGCTAACTGCTCTTTGTGGCTATCTGTTTGCAAATTCAATAGCCAGTCAACTTTTTCATATTTTTCATAACCAAACCTGTAAAAGGTTTTAATTACAAATTAATCTGTTTATTTATTCAAGTTTAATTAACTGTGTTGCTGGATAAACCTATATTTTATTACTGCAAGGACACTTGATGAGTGGGTATAATTTTGGATGTTAACCCGTATGGGATAAATTCATACTGCGTCTGTACATCTACAAAAAATAAGTGTTTTTTTTTTTTTTCCGCTTTTAATTTTTCATAAACACCAACATCAGCTTGTTAGCTGGATCATGTCTAAGCCACTCACAACCTAACACCCACTTTCCACTTCTTGTAACCACATTTGACCAAGCTAATCTTCTGCAAAGCGAGAAGGTGAGAAAAGACAAGTGTAGAACCATCAAACTAAGTAAGTAAAATGTGCATGCAGTTAATACAGGCTATATAACATACACTTTCTTTCTGAGGAGCAGCTTGTCACTTGCCAATATCAAAAATTTCATGCATGTTGATCATTTCAAGCTCTGTTTACCTTGTTGAAATCAACTCAGGTTTTTTAAAACATAAAAATGCAAGTTCTGTCAAAGCAAACAGTGAATAGAACTTCAAAAACAACACCCACCTACAAGTACAGCATGTTTTCCCTCACCTTCAGCCAAATACCACGAATATTTCTCAAGATCGTGTGCTGATATGCAGGCATTTCAATCCTGAGCGGATTTAGGAGTTCAGAGAGGGAAAGTGTAGTTCCTGCAGTGATCAGTGGCCGGGAGACATTCAGCAGAAGGAGAAACCAGAGTTTAGAGATGTGGCTCTACATATCACTCATCGTATGTGTGATGTTTCTAAATGCTGCTTCCTTTCCCTTCAATCATGATTCACCGCACACACACACCACAGCAACGGTATTTGTGATTTTCTGGAGAAGGGAGTGTCCAAGCTTAAACTCAGCGTGGTTTTAGGGAGCGAGCCAGAGGCCCACCCGCCCTGTACATCTTGTTTTGCGGACATTCCACACCATTAAATGTCTATTAAAAAAAAGTCATTCTTTAATTTAAAAAAAAAATGTAATTGTCGGCAAATGACATGCGATATAAAAGGACTAAGGAAAAATACCACTTTTCATTGGTAACAGTAACTCCGCTTCACATCAGGCACGGCACACCACCCTGCCACTGATTGTTTTCTATTAACAGCGTGTCCCGTTGTGTTTTATTCCTTATATACACCGCTGGAGTCTTTGTTAGTTATCTAAACCACAATATTTCACTGTAGGGATGGGGTTAATTGAGTTATGGCCTGTGTTAACTTTGCACCACACGTAGTGCTTTGAAACTTGCCCAAATTACACCAAAAAAAAACAAAAAAAAAAACACATCTTCTCTTCACATTACTCCTTTTGTGCTTTCAACTGGCTCTTCCTGAGCAGTGGTTTCCTTCTAAATACCTAATCATACATTCCTCTTTATGCAGAGCTCTTGAAATGGTTGTCTGGTGTACCTTCTGCAACTCCTTCAGAGTGACTGTTGGCCTCACTGTGGCCTCCCTCACCAGTCTCCATCTTGTTTTTGTGCTGAGTTCTGAGGGCTAGGTAGTGCTTGGATTGTGTGATGTAGTTCCAATTCCTCACTACTGGCCCAACAGTCCTTACTTGGAATGACCAACCTCTTAGATATAATTTTACACCCTATTCCTATTTCTATTACCTTATCTTTAACTCTCTAAGGATGCTCCTTAGTCTTCATTTTCACTCCTTTCCTTCAGATTGACAATCTCTTCAGTGACATTTCAACTGAAGTGTCTTTTTTGTTCAGAAGATGAGAGCTGTTTTAATATTTTACAAGTGTAGGTCAATTACAGGTCAATTTTTCAGTTTCTGATTTTCTTTAAAATACATATTTTCTTTTAAAATTCACTGTAAGAGAACATGAGTTTGCAATAAAAAATACTGAGAGGAAGAATATGTGTATTTATCATTTGTTATTCAGACAAAGTTGATAAATTCCAGTGAGGTTGAATACTTTTGCAAGCCACTGTACATATTGCAATATACTGACATTATGATACACTTTTTCAAGTATTATGGGTCTAATCAGGTGTCAGTGCTTTTATAACTTAATTGTTTTTCCACTTTAAAAAGCAACTGACTGGAGATAAAAATCTTTTCACCCCTATTTCCTTCAAATACTATTTAAATACTTAAATAGTATAAAAACTCTTAACTAACAGGTTGTTGTAATATGGCTACGCAGTCTCATTGGCGTTTAGGTAACAGAACTTTAGCAAAACTAAATATTGTGATTAGGGATGTAACAATATCATTTTTTCAGACTGAGTCCGAGTCCACGTTTTTGGTACTCGCAGATACCGGGAATCGGGGGCTTCGTGGAACATCTGGGCTTGGGACCGGCTCTGGGAGTGCACTGTCCCTGCTAAGGATTGTTCCCTGGCCCAGAGTCGAACCCGGGCCGCGGCAGTGAGAGCGCCGGGGCCTAACCACTAAGCCCTCCAGGGACCCCCCACCTCAGTACACAAAATAAAAAGAATCTTTTGTGATTTGTGAAAAGATTTTCACACATAGTGTACCTCATGTGTTATGAGGAGAAGATGATCAAGCAGCACTAAAGATCTGTCACTTTGACTAACCAAATCTTATTAATATTGCATAGACATCATTTGTGGGCAGACTCACTTTTCTCCATAATTACGCTTTCAGTCAGAAGGTCTTTTACTTTTTTGACTAAAAGCGTTCTGTCAAAAATGTTGGAGATTCTTTTTGTACAAAAAGCTCAATTGTACGCCCATGTGCTTTGTTTCTCGTTATCATTTCTCAACATTTTTTGGAATGATAAATGATAATCACGCATGATGGCTTCCATATGGACTGGAAGGACAAACAGAGCTCTTCAGACCAAGCTGCCTCATTCTGAAAGAATGCGAGAATGAAATCATTTAGGCTGAGCCCTTGATAGCTCTGATGTGGCTTCTTCTAGCTCTGTCGTCATTTTTATTGACCTTCATTTCCTCTATGGCCTCTGAAACGTCTCTCAGGGGAAGTGACTAAAACCGGGAAGTTATTCTTTCAGTATGACAAGCCACTGCCCTAACCCAAACCCAGATTCTTCTCACTTCGTGAAATAAATCAAAATGCCCAGCAACTGAACCATGTTTCTTTAATGACTTTAAATGACACATGCAAGAGCACATAAGAACACAATGTGCGCTTGTGCTAAAAGCTGCAAAACAATGTGTCTCATCATCAAAAGGGGTCCAGTTAGATTGAGAAGAAACTCAGCATTATGAACCATGAAGAAAAAAACAGCAAAACAAAGATTTGCCTTAAAGGAAAATCTGTGCAGACTCATAGACCAGACACTTATTTAAAATATGTCTCTGCTCTCTTTGGTCCTTAACTTTCCATTAGTCAGTATATCGATCAGAAGCACACCTTCTTCAGGACAGGCTGTCATTACTCACTTAAAACCTTCTGAACACCATTCACTAATTGTTTTCATTTGCTAATAGTTGAGAAAGCCTGATTTTCCACTCTGCAGTCTTTAATGAGATCTGTGCTTTTCAATTAAATTAACTCTGACTTATCTTTCTGGATCTCTTTATTTGCTTAGTTTGCAAATCAATTCTAATAAAAAACAAAAAAAAAAACATTGCAAGCGGACAGAGAAGGATACTGTATACTGATCCAGTACTAAGTACTGACCTGAAATAGTGGATCAGTACTGGATCTGAAGTGACATATTTTCCTATTCAGTCAACTGATATATTTTGTGTGTTGAATACAATATTCAGACTACTGCAACACAGATCGTTCACGTGAACTTAGGACACTACTTGTCTTAAAGCGCACCACCATTCCGCCTCTGATATTTCACATAACTTCATAATGGTCAGTACGAAATCATACTGTAATATCAGTGTCGTTTTAATGAAGAAAACGTGAGTCGGTGCATGGCCAGTGTCAGACCCAGACGCACATTTGTGTCCTTGGCAATGCACTGATACGTATACTGGTATCAGTCTGATACTGTGCTCAGTTAGTATTACTCATATCGTAAAAAATGCTCTGATACTAACAGGCTATATCATGTGATACTATGTGACAAGCCTGGTGTCATGTACTAATGAGCAGTGGACATGAAATAACAGCATTTGGGACGTATTTAACAAATAAAGCAGAATGCAAACTGCGCTCTGCGAAAATATCAATATTGATAAAAGACCAGCATCATCCTTTAACATTAGCAACTTGATAAAACATCTTATCTCTATCTTTTCTACATTTTTTTAATGATTATTTTTCCTGGTTTTTCTCCCTAATTTTGCTCTCTTGAACTCCCAGTCACAGATGGCTGTGTTCAGGTTTTGAACTGGTGATCTTCATGTGATTGGTCAAATGTGTTTCTCTTGCAGCATGATCTCTGGCATGAGGGCGACCAACATGAGCATGCAAAGCTGTATCAGTGCATGTGGTCATCAAAAATGAGAGCAAGGTGCTCTAAATTTAGTGTACACAACTTCTATTTGGTATTTGCGAGGGTGAAGCAGTGAGGCTAGCATGCAGAGAAACTGTCGAGTGTGAGAGCAGTTCAGTTCTGCGAGAACTGAACACTGAAACACACGCGCTCCACCCCCAACCCCTCCCCCCATCAGTATGTACCCCTTGCGCACACTAAATAAACTCGCTATGTTGTCTCAGATTGATCAACACCACTTGGGTGCTCAATGTAGTATCAGTATCTGTATTAAGAAGTACAAAAAAACATACACATAGACGGCATGAAAAGATTGTATCGATGCATCACTAGTTCTTAGCTCTGCACAAACATACAAACACTGTGACACGATGGACTCTTCGGAGCAAGAGGGAGTCAATAGATTGAAAAAAGTTCAAGAATGACATCTTTGAAAAGGACTAGAGGTTTTTATTTTTATAAAATAATAAATAGCTGGGAGTGAGTAAATATGATTGGCCATTTGTAATGAGGGTCAAATTCCATTTTCCAGTAATGGCAGGCAGTTCTTAGCTACTTTTATCAAGCTAAGATTAGAAAATTTTTCTTGACAAATTCTAGGTCATTCTCCAGCCAAGTGGCTCCAAGATTAACCACGTGGTAACTGATGGTCAAGTAAGTTTATCCAGAAATGACATTAAATTTCAAAGCATTAAAATGATTAATTTGAGAAACTTAAAATTAAGCAGCACTAAAAGAAAACCTGCTCAGACTGAAATGGAGGTATAAAAAACTGGCCTGTGTGATCTTTTCGTGGAGTTCCTCATAACGATGTGATAGTTCCTCTTCACGCAGAACACATGTGGAACTTAGCCTGACCACAGATGATGCTTTTCTCTCTGGTGAGTCCAAACAGCACTTAAATATGTATATTTTCTACTTATATCTATATTTAAGTATGTATATGTTCTGCTATCATCTATATTTATCATATCTAGGAGTAATTAACTTCTTGAGTCCGTGATTTTCCTGATGTATCAGTCCCATATTGAGCAGAATGCGTGGGCTGAACTGGACATGTATGATCCTCCCCACTGATTCTGAACACTCCTCCACTTCCTTCTCTTGGTTTCAGCCCTGCAATAATACTCAAACTCCAGAGCCTGGGCAGAGGAAAATAAACAATACTAAAAAAAAAAAAAAAAACTGTGCCTGAACCAGCATGTGCTAGTACAATAGCAGCTACACTCTGATAGCATATTGTGGCACATTAGCGAATTCCTTTGCGAAGCTGAAAGCCTGAGCACGCATTGTGTCTGGATCTCTCGCTCCTCAAGGATAACCAGAGCCATTTTGCCCTTGACAATAATTCATCAGAAGATGAAGTGCAGGCTGTGAAGCAGTCTGCCACGAGGGCTAGTGTGAGGATGCAGAGCCATGACTCAGACCCACAGTACACAGTGGCCAAAGAAGCAGGAACTCTGGGTTCCAACTAAGAGGAAGCAGAAGAGAAGACAAGAGAATCGCCACACAGATACACTTTGGGTGGCATCTGTATTCAAATCTGATTCAGGGAGAGCTTCTAATTCATCTTAATGCATCTACATTTTTTGATGACCACTTGCCCTTTTAACACCCCAACGCCAAGGCAACTGCCTTGATGCCTTGCTGCCTCCGCTGTCAGACAACTTTATGTCTTAGAAGGCAGCACTGTTATATTACGACTCGTAAGGAAACAATCTGAGACACCCTTTGAAGGAAGCATGACATGATGACATGCCAAGATACTAGCCCCAGCCTCAGACTCTCCAGCAACATGCCACAGAGCATCTGATATATTTTGTGCACGTTTTTGGCCACGAGCTTCAGAATCTTGAACACTGCAATCTGATCGGTATCTCTGTACCTCTATGTATACACATGTCTGTGCAGATTGTAGTGAAACAACAAACCTTTGAACACTGGGGCACTTGTTTGCTGATGGGCTACGGGGAAGCCTGTGGTTGGTTGTTTGCCACATCAGTCAAATAGCTTCTGTGTGTAAAAGCAGGCGGTTCTTGGACAATATTTATTATCAAAAACACATCAGGCTCTCTAGCAAATGTTAAAAGTCTAGCTTGCGAGATTACTAAGATATCAATATATACTTATAGTCACTAACCCCAGAAAGAAAAAAAAGGAGTTAGGGAATTTTCTGTGTATACACCAGCTATTTCTCATCACAAATAAAATCGTAAGTCGAAAAACAATTACAAAGAAACTAATTTATACTGTCATTATTGTCCAGAGTGGCTGCTGCACCTGACCTAATGACCTGCTGCTGCACAGAATTATGGGATAAATAGGACAATGAAGGACATAGTCATAAGCTTATGAAATTGACTGAGTATGTTAATGCAATTGATTGAGTATGTTAATGCAATACAAATACAGCATGTGATGGCATACTACAATTTCATAACAAAAAAATTCCCAATCTCGAACAAAAATGATGCTGCTAGAGGCTAACCTCTATGCATTTCTCCTCACAGCACTTCTCAAACTAAATTCATTCAAAATATCTCAACTCGGGCTGTAGGACTTGAGTCCAAGGCTGGTCTTGAGACATTTTCTGTACTGGCTTGGACTTGTCTCTGTCTAGGGCATTGGTGTCACTAAATATTGTCTTGATCTTGACCAAGAGTTTGTAAAAAAAATAATGTTTGTGTTGTCTTTTCTTTCCATATGCACAATGTTTGGAAGAAATAATTTGTTCTTCTAGATAAATAGCTTAATCACTGGAGCAATGCACAAATGGAGCCAACTAGTTGAAGTAAAAGCTTGGCCTTGAAAGGGATTTGATGGTTTTCTGTCTCAGTCTTGACTCTATGTCTCGCTTTCATTTGGACTCAATCTTGACTTGGCCTCGACCTGCTTAAAACTCAGTCTTGTCTCAATCACAACTAGTCCTGGTCTTGGCCTTGACAATGGTAGTCTTGACTACAGCCCTAAACTTCACATAAAGGACTGCAACACTGTTTAAGTTCAGAATCCAGAAAAATCTCTC